TAGCCACCAGTCCTCCAGGCACTTGCTCCCCTGCTTTCAGGCCCCCACTACATCCTTCACCAAGACCACCGCCAGACCCACCAAAGGTGACCCATGAACAGTTTAAGGCGGCTCTGCAGATGGTGGTGGACAAGGGCGATCCACGGTCTTATCTGGAGAACTTTGTGAAGATTGGGGAGGGCTCGACGGGGGTAGTGTGTATCGCTACAGAGAAGCACAGCGGCAGGCAGGTGGCCGTGAAGATGATGGACTTGCGGCGGCAGCAAAGGAGAGAGTTGCTCTTCAATGAGGTACGATGTTCACTTTGTGATTCCCACAAAAACTTGACACAAATTGCCAACACACAATGCTTTAAGATTACGGAAACAGATTTGAGGTCCAGCATATAAAGAACAGTTCCTCTTTTTAAACCTCAAGTTAATTTCACAGGAATGTGGCTACATGGGTTGTACTAACTTTGCATTCCCCTCCACTTCTGAATGGGCAAGAAAGGACTTGCACAAGACAGCCTTTACAGGGGGAATCTGCAAGAGCCTTGTACAGCATTTCAACTAAGCATGATTTCTACATTCAACATTTCAAATGCTTATCTTAGCTTAGAGCATCCATTATTTTTCAACAGAGGTGCTAAGTGCCAAGTTGGCATAGATTCCTAAAAGCCTCTGAAATGGGCATAGGGCATGTTGAATTTAACCAACATTTTCATTTTAAGGGTTAGTTAAAGAGATACTCCGATGATTGCACACAGGAAATTCAGTTTGCTCCTTGTTGGGAATAATACTCTGAAAAAACTGTTGTATATTGTCTTCTTTGGCTCTGAAGGGAGCATTCTAATTTAAAAAAAAAAAACTGATAATGTCATCAGGGATATCTTGGCTTATGCTGGACCTTTAATGAAAGACACTATTGAGTACCCAGTTCACATTGAAGAAACAAAATGTGGCCCCATCATTGTGGTGTCCCTAAAGGTTTTTGATTCTTATGTAAACCTTGTGTTGCAGGTTGTCATCATGAGAGACTATCAGCACAGGAATGTGGTGGAGATGTTTAAGTCAGCCCTAGTGGAGGAGGAGCTGTGGGTTATCATGGAGTATCTACAGGGTGGAGCACTGACCAACATTGTATCTGAAACCAGGTATGTGCCCCGGGAGAATATTTTAAGATTCATTGGTGCATTTCTGTTTGAGTTATGATATCATCTTTAATAACTAAATCTACCACAAGGGGGTAGCATGGTATCGGCTGTTTAGGGAACAGTGATGGTTACTAACAGAACAAAGACTCACAAAGACTGTCATTCAGTCTTCCCTCTCACTCCAAGAAATCATTTGATTACATAATAAAATCTGTGCATGTTTAGATGCCAGGTAGAAAGTCAGTTTTCAATGAGGATTTGATTTCCTGATACTTTGTCCAGTAGCGCATACATCAACATTAATGAAAACACATCGACCTGCAGAAGGGAGTAGACTTTTAACAGGGCATATTTGTTTTGAGCTGTCAATGTATTTTATATTATTAACAGATGGCTGGCTCGATCGCCATGGGATGACACAGGGTCACATCGCTTGACTCAAAGGGCTGAAAAGATTTCTCTTAAGTCAGATGACATATACATTGAGCCAACTGTTTAGTCAAACACTGTGATCATCACTATATTGACAGAACAATGAATAATTAGGGTCCTTTTATTTTTCTGTTTTCCTTGGCTTCAGTCTGGTGTGAAATATTTGTTGAGGCTTATTTCACATTTTCTTTTAAATATGATGATAATCATGTTTAGGAGGATACAGCACTCTGATTTGTAACCCACTTTCTGTCAGCAAATGACCTTGCTTGCCGTTTGAAATTGCCTTTGTCTCCTGTTTATGTTGCTTTTCCCCCTCAAATATCAAAGTCACATTAACACAGTAATGACAATGTTTTGTTGGTCTTCTGCTGTGTGGGAGTTGTTGTTTTGAACCTTCCACTCTTAATGTGCTGTGACTCATTGATTTCAACTTTCTCGGCTGTTGATTTGTCGTAACTCATAATGGACACGTGAAATGTTAATGTAATATCTGTTTCTGTATGTGTGTGTAAACTTGTATGCGTGTCAATGCGCAGTCTGAGTGAGGAGCAGATTGCCACTGTGTGTGAAGCTGTTCTGCAAGCCCTGGCCTATCTCCATTCGCAGGGAGTCATCCACAGAGACATCAAGAGCGACTCTATACTGCTCACTTTAGATGGACGGGTATGACATGTTGTTACACATTCTTTTTTCCTTACTTTCTGTTTTTGAGTTTCTTGATAGTAAAACATTTATCTTCTTCCCCACAGGTCAAGCTTTCAGACTTTGGCTTCTGTGCTCAAATCAGCAAGGACATCCCTAAGAGGAAATCTTTGGTGGGGACACCCTATTGGATGGCTCCCGAAGTCATCTCCAAATCACCATATGGCACAGAGGTGAGAAGGCACACATTCAAAAGGCATCCAGGCTGAAAAACAGTGGTGATCTCGCTCATGTAACATAAATGTCAACAGTGGCACTCTGTTCTGTAAGCACTGTTACGTTATTTAAAACGTGTGATTTTTCACCAGGTGGATATTTGGTCAATGGGTATCATGGTGGTGGAGATGGTGGATGGAGAGCCACCGTATTTCAGTGAGACCCCTGTAGCAGCTATGAAGAGACTAAGGGATGAGCTGGCTCCTACTGTCCGAAATGTCAACCAGGTACGGGAACAGACAGAAATTAAGGTCACAACATAGTCTCTTTACCAACATAGTCTCGACTCTTTCCATATCAATGTGAGGAGGTGTTGCTTAAAATGTCCTACCAACTACTGAATGGATTAATTGCATGTTTGGTAGACATTCATGCCACCCTCTGGATGATTTGTAATAATTCCTCAAAGAGAGTATTTCTCTATCGCCAGGTTAGCATGCTAATACGCCAAGCTATGCTTTGTTTACATTGTAACATCATACCTGCTTAACATCATCATGATATAACAATATCTGATACAACCCACGTATTTTCATTGGTAGCATGTCACAATATTGATGGGAACACTCCTATGTTCCCAGGGCATGTGCTTCTCTTGATATGAACTAAAGATGTACAGTAAGTGATACAAAAGTAAATAGTTCAAATGGGGAAAAAGAAAAAGGGAGATGGATGCATTTTCACAATTAAAAATATGTTTAAAAATGTAAATTGACAGACAAATATATTCCCTGCAAAAATTGGGGACTTTGGCATTAGTAAGATATAAACTATGCTAGATTTCAATATATTGACCCGTGGAAATATATGTTGAACATTTGACCTCAGGAAAAACATTGTTGAGGACATAAAACCTTTCTAAAGGTCAACAGTAGCATTTAGATCGAAGTTCCGCTGTTAATATATAAAATTTACGAAATGTAGCAACTACTGCCACAATATATTGATGTTAAAATAAATGTATCCATTGCTCTGTGCTCCAGATCTCCCCAGTTTTAAAAGACTTCCTGGACCGTATGCTGACTCGGGACCCCCTAGAACGGGCCAGTGCCACTGACCTGCTGGAGCACCCTTTCCTGCTGCAGAGCGGGTCACCCCAGTGCCTGGTCCCGCTGGTAGATCAGTACCGCAAGCGCATGTCCCGTTGCTGACCAAGTGGGGATCCTACTCCCCGAACACTCAACTTCAGTCTGATCTGTCCAGGCGCGGACCAGCATCGAGGTCCAACTCCTCTAGCACCCTAGCCAACAGGAGATCAGCTCCAGAGAAGCAGACCCAGACAGCATGTTGCTGCAATAGTGATGGTGGCAGGACGGCAAGTTTGGCTGACGGACACCGCATGGTCTCAGGCATGAGAGAAGCACTTTAGGAGCGAGTAGAAGGCAGCATGCAATTCCTCACCTCTGGGATCGGGTTTGATCCGAATATTGATTGGCTTCCTGTAACATTCAGTGGGATTCAACACTTCACAACATGGTGCATATCAGCAAAAGTCAATATTTCACGTAACTATATGTAATGAACATGTGCTACTCTAAAGATCCTTTATAGTGTTCGTAGTGGGCATTATAGCCAGCAGTTTAAAGCTTATAAAGCTGTTGCTCAAACCACAGTAGCTCATTGTGACATCATTAGGAAGTATAGTTACCTCTGCACATTCACAGTCGTTGTTATGGAAACTAGACAACAACCTGGTCCGTACACTCTTTGCATGGCCAAATGGAGGCACACCTGGCCCAATGTGAATGCTTGAATATGTACCAAACTGGGATTCGAAAGACAATTCTCCTTTATTAGCATTATACATGGGTAGATGAAAGCCCAGCTGCTACTATTGGAAAAATCACTAGTTCTATATTCTTCTTTTTCATATTTATTCTTTATTTCCAAATGGTGTTGTGGGTTGTTTGTATGATGTGAAGTCGCAAATAAGGTTTCATTATTTAAAGAACTTGAAACAAAAGCAGATAAATTAATAATGTAAATAAAATGCTGAATATTAGGTCCTTGTACCTGCAGTAAATTATATGAGATGAATTCTAAATTTTACTTTTACTGAAATGTGAGTGTATAGTTGTATGTATGTGTGTATGTGTGCATGTGTGTGTGAGCACATGGGCACATGGATGTGTGTGAGGTGACATCTCAGTGTTTGCTTCTGATACAGCCCTATTTGTATTGTGACAGACTTTTTAAAAACCACAAGACGTGTGTGTTGCTCCTCCAGAAGATGTGTATGACTGTAATTTGCATTTGTTTGCCTAGATAAAGCACACAGGCCTGGCATGTGATGCTGCAGGATGTCCACCTGCTGCTGAGAAACACTTTGCACATCGTCTTTGTATTCTAACACGGATACATGTTGACACGTTTCATGTATTTCTATTTCTGTGTGGGTCATTCGTGAAAAGAGAATTACACATTTTTATTTTGTATAAATCAATAAATGATGCATATGAAATTGGAATTAATTTAATCCAGCATTTCTCTCATTCACTCACACAAACATGAATACTGGTATTTTAAAGTATTTATTAGGTATTCAGCATGATTCATACATTGCACAGTGAATTTATTCAAGCTTAATACATGCAATATTTCTTATAATCACAGAAGCAATATCAAATCCATTTAATCCCATACAATATAAATGTTATTTATGTGTGTGAACAAAATTAATTTCCATTGACTGATAATATTCATTTATAAATTATTTAAAATATATATTAGCAAAAATGTAAGCAGCTGTATGCAACTGAACAGATAACTTTGAAATATTTGTATTAGTTCACATTGAAAAAACACATGAACTGCACTCACAAGCAAAAGGTTAGTATTTCTCTCGATAAATAGAATATACGACGAAGCAATCAAATTGCATTGCTGTAAAATTGTCCCCCACCTGCTATTTTGTTGCTAATTCTAATGGAGGGTGGACTGAGATGAGCAGCTTTCAAACTCACACTTCACTCCGCTGATGCTGTCGACGCTCGGCTGGCTGTTGACCTGCTGGTGTGTGTGCGAGAAGGGGAAAGTTTCCGAGCGGGAAATCTTCCCTCGGCCGTTTGAGGAGCCAGATGAACAGTCTATCACCATCCTCATGAAATCTGGTGCGGTGAATCGACGCAGCAGTCTGGTCCCCAGGCCCATGAACCCCGGGGTGCGGATCTCCCCTCTGGCAAACAGCAGCTTGTTGTGCCGGTCGGTCTGGCCCAAGCTCCCCCTCTCCTGCTGCTCTCTTCTGCTTGATGGAGCCAAGTCATTAGCTTCTTCTCTCAGTGATTTGACATTCTCCTCGAGTGCCCTCCCCGGCTGACTCTTGCCGTTTGAAAGAGGTTTTGGCACAGAGACAGATTTGTCAGCATCATTTGTCAGGCCCCGGGTGTTCCCTTGACATTCAATCTTATCTATCAGGCATCTCTCATCCTGTAGTGAGGCTCTCTTTAATTTGCTGGCTGACAGGCTGATGCCATGTACATCACCCTGATAAGACTGCTTTCTGCTGCTCAGAAGGTCCAGGTTAAATGACTTTGCTTTTCCCCAGAGAGGAAAACTTACTGGGGTTGGCTCTTGGAGTCCAGTGTCTTTCTGGCTTGGCTCAGGCAGAGAGTTCAGTGTTTTAGCTCTTAGCTCTTTAAGCTGGCAGTTCTGCAGTTGTTTAGTAGTGAAGAGTACTTTATGATCCCCCTCAGTCTTGCTTTTCTCTATCTGTGGAGGCAGAGCCCAGCTTTGGCGATAGTTGTCGTCTTGAGACTGGCTCCTTGGACATCTGAAGCGGTTCCACAGCCCATTGCTGTCTCCAATCTTCAGCTGTCTCTGAAATACTTCGGGTAGTTTGTCTTCGTTGTTAATCAGCTGCTTGGAGAACCTCTCCAGAACATGCCGAGGAAGCCTTTTGGGCAGCGGGCACTCTCCTTCACTGATGGTCGCTGAATCAGCATGTGGATCATCTGTGCTGACGCCTCTCCTGCAAGGAAAGTTCAGAATCTGCAAACACTGTTTGTGTCCAAAAAACCTGGCCACCTCAATGGCGGAATGACCAGCGTTATTGGGTCTGTCCAGTCTCAGTCCAAGTCTTTTGAAAGCCCGGACAAGAAACTCCAGGACCTGGCTGTGCCCAGAAAAGGCAGCATACATTAGGGCGCTGTTACCCCAGGCGTCAAAAACTTCTGGGTCAGCATTGAACTGCACAAGAACCTTGACAATGTCCAGATGACCCACCTCACAGGCATGGCTCAGGGCAGTGCGACCGTCCTCATCCTGGCAGTTGACATCGGCCCCTTTATCCAGCAGCAGCCGGGTGAACTTGGCCCTGGTCCCGGGGTCTTGCAAGCAGACAGCGTACATGAGCGGGGTGCGGCTGTTTTCTGTCTTAGAATTGATGATGCGTCCGTCCATGGCGTCCAGGATGAAGCGTGCGAGGTGAACTTTACCGCCGTGCATAGCATCTAAAAAGGTCTTGGTGCCAGAGCCCTGGCGTAAATCTTTCGGGCGCATCATTCTTGAACAGCTACTTGTGGAGCCGAGCCTTCAAGTGAGCCGAGACAAAAAGGTGAAAAATCAAGAGAGGAAATGTGTAGCAAGTTCTTGGAGGCTCTCTGTGTTGACAGTAAGTGCATTTACTTCAGAGTAAGACTCGGAGAGGAGCTGCCGGTGTTTTTATACCTCCCTCCCCACATGCTCTACCCACGTTGCCTAGGAAACAAATGTCTGAGGACCATTATGCAGTGGCAGCATCCATTCAGCCCAAGCCCTCGCTGCCTGGAGAAATATATGCTATTTGAACAGAATAATTACTCATGGAGAAAAAAAGATTCCAGTGTTTTACATTTGAGGTTAAATGAACTTAAATGCACTATTTTCTATCCGAACCATAAATGAACCTAATCAACAAATACTGGTTGCTGATAGAATAACGTTTTTTGTTAATATGCATTGTGTTATGTCCCATTTAAATTCAAGGCAACACTGTTATAAGTAATCTTACCAATGGTTTGAGGAAACCTTCAAAAGGGAGGGAAGGGAAACATTTTCTCCAGCATGCCTTTTAAATGCTGCATCTATCAATCCACAATGTAGTTCTGGTTGTAGTGTGCTTTCTCCGCAAATCATAACATAGTTGCAAGTTCAAATTATTCTACTCTATTATGCCTGTCTCAAGGTTTTATATGAATGACTCTTTTTCTTCGTCATGGAAAATAGCAAATCCAGAGAACTCCACAAGAAAATACTTTTTTATTGGCTTATGGATGTTATGGAGGACATCAGCATGAGTATGTTTTGGCTTTAGATGAAGTAAAATGACAAACGTCCTTTTGTTTGTTGTGGTATAAGAGTATGTTTACTATTTGTCATTTAAGCACACAAGCTGCTCTTTTCTGCATATATTAAATAATACTTTTTTCGCTAACAACCTTCAAACTTACTGAATGTTGTGCTATTACCTTCAAAAGCACCACATTTAAACACTTGTCACCTACATCTTTTGTCACGGCTTGCATACGAAAAGTGACATGGACCCCTTGTAAGCAGCTGTCTCACCCACAAGATCAACATTTCATTTTAATTGCTAATATACATCTCAGCAGGGCCATAGCTGTGCAAAACGCTAGAGGTGAGAGAAATATTGCTGAGTTTCCACCTTCTTCACTGTTCCCCATCCGGCTTCATTAAACCCTCAGAGGGTTATTTATACAGCACTGTTACGTGCCAGGCAGGCTGTACTTGTGTGGTTTTCTTTCCCACCTGTGTTCTCTCTTCTCCCTAGAGGTTTCTCAATACTCTAATTTCCCCTCCTCGACTCCTCGACTCCTCGACTCCTCGGTCCTCCGGTAGTGACCCGGAAATGAATTTCAGCATGCCATGTTGAAGGACATCTCATTTCTCTAAATGCACTTCGAGGACCGAGCATCGAGCATCGAGGAGGTTCTCTGGAGGAGCTCTAACCGAGGAGACACTAGCCTCATCCCAATACCCCTCCTCGACTCCTCTCTTCCCCTCCTCCGGGACTTGACCCGGAAATCGATCAAGACACGCCATTTTGAAGGACGTCCCAATAGCTGAAATGCACACGGAGGAGTCGAGGAGGGGTGAGGGAGGAGGGGTGCGGGAGGAGACGAAAGGGAGGATACACGCGAGCAGACTATGCGGAAGTGTTTTCACTACTCGCGTATAAAAGCCCCGCCCCCACCTTCATAGCTGGTCGATTTCAACAGAGGAAAACCGACAACTGGAAGATGAGTGGAAAAGCGTCACATAAATGTAGAAGTGCTCACAGCTCCCGTGGGAATTATTATGTGGCAATTCATTTCTAAAAGGCTTTCACATTACTATAATTATATTTTTATTAAATGTAGGCTACATTTGACACCAAAACGGAACACAAAAGCAGGACCAACCATCATTGAATTCCTTGGACTAACAAGAGGAAAGATTCATTCATTTAAATAATATTTAACCAGAAATGGGCCGGTTCTAAGGGGTTATTCAGTTAAGCCCGATGAGAGGGGATACAGCTGTGCACGTCATCATTAACAGACGTCGTTTAAGAGTGACGTTTGAGTGAACGAGGACATCCCAATTAATACCTGAGGACTCCTCTGTCCTCGGCGTCACCTTCCTCGTGTCCCTCGCTCGCATCTTACGGAGGCGGAGCTAAGATGCAAGGAAGGGACGCGAGTGAGGGAAAGGAGGAGTCGAGGAGGGGTATTGGGATGAGGCTACTGATGGGTCCTCCACGGCTCCTCCGCGGATGCATTTCCGGGAACGGTGGAGGCTTGACGCGCGGCCGGACTTATCTCAGCCAATCACAGCTCTGCATGCATCCCCTGGATATTATTTTAGAAACTGCTTTAGTGCTTCACATAATAAAATGTGTGTAGCCTGATTATGCTTTAGGAGCTGTGTGTGTGGTACAGTGTGTAGGTGTGTGTGTGGTACAGTGTGTAGGTGTGTGTGTGTGGTACAGTGTGTAGATGTGTGTTGTACAGTGCGTAGATGCGGCGGACAGACGGGTCTCAGTTGGTTTGGTGTCCTCTGCTTACTTTTAATACTTGTAAATACAACCCTTTGGCCCGTAATTTCAATTCCCCATTTCAGCGACCAGAGAGAGGGGGGGGAAAATATCCAGTCTCTGATTGTGTTACGTTATTATGAGAGTGCTCTCATACTTTAAATTGTATATATTTATATAAATATATTTGTGTGTGTGTCCGCATCTGTAGCCTGTTATTGTCTCATTATACCGCACTCTCAATGAATTCAAAGTAAATATGTGGGGGAACAATGTTCAGCTGATCTAACAGAGATTATAAAATACAGCGCTATGACAAAACACTCGAAAGCTGATGCAGCTGTTGCCACGTAATAATGAACGGACGTCGCTTTTAATATGACCGCTCAGAGGAGAGGAGGTTCTCATTTATTTAAACGTCTGCTGCTTCCCCTCCTCTCTCATCGGTTCCCGGTCCTCCGCTCGCATCTCCTGTGGGCGGGACTAAGTCTCGAGGAGGGGAGTCGAGGAGGGGACATTTAAGAATTGAGAAGCCTCTCCTGTCTTCTGCACAGCTAATCAGCAGCTGATCGGTATATGCCTGTGCACCTGAGTCTGATGGCTGATTGGATCCTCTCACCCTCAGCTGGCCTATCAGCAGCCAGGGCCGACCATAAAGGAGGCACCCAGGAAGTCTTCTCTCTCTCTGACCCTGGGCCTGTTGCTGATCAAGGAGCCTGCAATTGACTGCCTTGTTTAGAAGCTCATTCTACTTTGTTCTAACCTTTGTTAATGTGTCTGTGTTGAGAGGTGGGGGAGTTAGGTAAGTCTGGGGTACCCTGTACATTTCTCATCACGTAGGTAACTAATGTTACTACACACTAGATTAGCGGATTATTAACACCCCTGTATTCTGTTTTGTTCAGCTTTGAGTAGTTTAGTTAGTGAGGGTTTTTGTTTGAGTTTTGGTTTCAAAGGATAGATGTAGAGATAGGCCTGGTTTTGTTATGCTTATTTATTTTGTTTGGCACAATCTCCTTTGACTCCTCCTCCTCCTCACACAAAGAGTATTTCTGTTAAACTTCTGTTCAGTTAGGTTGTTCAAGGAATAAACCTTTTGTCAAACTTTACGCTGACTCCCTCATAATTATTGGTTGTTGTGTGTTATTGTCTCCAGGTCCTCTAGACCAGTGGTTCTCAAACTTTTTTCACTCATGTACCCCCTTTGAAAAAAAATTCAGCCAAGTACCCCCTGATCAGCGCAAAAACTATTTGTTAAGGAAAAAAAGCCTATATAAAGAGGTGCAGCGCTGCACCATCAGTGTCTGATTTATTAAAACATCAACCTTGTAACTGAGAAGCACTTAAATGCTACATTTCAAATGTTGACAATCCATCACTAAATTCATGGCAAACCAATTTTAACATCATGCAATAACACTAAGACGACATTAGTTGCATTGAACTGATCTTTTTAATAAGTTGTACAATGTAGTGAAACATGGGCTTGTGCTTCACTGAGGATCTTTGTCATTCTGACAGGGAGGCAAACTGCAGTTATTACACTTTGCGTTTTGAAATATGTGTAACTCTGTTAATATAAAACCCAAACTGCTCAAACTTCCTTACTTTTCCTAAAATTGGTATATTTATTTATTTATTTATTTTGGGGCGTGGGGAATGAAGAGAAAAAATATAGTAGCATTTTATGAGCATGGGATTTTGACCCCTCATATAAACATATGCATAATGCTGCGCTATACTTTGCGGCCACACGCCGTTGCCAAGCAACGCTTATTGTTTAGGTGTCCTTTGATAAGCAGGCAGTTTTATAATTAACTAGAACTAGCTAGATCTGATAGATTTGGACATAGAACGCGAGTGAAGTCTAACCGGACGCGAGAGAGAGAGATCAGAGATCTGATCAGCGGAGAACGGAGAACACGCAGCTCTGCATGATCACAGCTCCGCCGCTGTGACGGACCGTTGAGCCGAGCAAAAATACACTTAGAGTTAGACCTAACACACTTAGCTAGTTTATCTACTCTGGAACTAGCTAAACTAGTTATAAATATATTTATTTTTACTGTCGGGTCACTTATTACAGGTTCAGCGAGCTGCACGAGACTGACGGGCTGTCAGGAGAGGGAGAGGAAAAGAGAGCACCCCGTTTATTTTTCCCATTTTATTATCCAGAATTACTGTAAACCTTTGAATTAAGTAGTTAAACTACTATTAGTAGTTTGTGTAAATGCATGTGTGTATAAATTATACGTTTTTGTATGATTTTAGTAGAAAAAATAAAAAAATGTTTTTTTTTTCATTAACATCAAAGAAATCTCACGTACCCCCTGCAGTACTCCAACGTACCCCTAGGGGTCCGCGTACCCCCATTTGAGAACCACTGCTCTAGACCTTAGTGGGGACGTAACAAGCACTGAGAGTCATTCACTCATCTAAACATTTCTGAAATGTATCAACAGTCATGGGTGTCTTTCAGTGAATGGAGGATTCTGTTACAGAAATATTTTCATGATGAACAAACATCATCGCCACATCATTTTAAAAGAAAGTCATATCATGGCAACATCTCAATAGGTTTAAATACTTATAAGGCCACACAAGAT